GAAAGAAAGAAAGAAAGAAAGAAAGAAAGAAAGAAAGAAAGAAAGAAAGAGTGGAAAGATGGCTCAGAAGTTTGAGCACTTGCTGTTTTCTGTTTTACAGAGGACCCGGGTTCAGTTCCCAGCACCCCCAGTGGGCAGCTCACAACCACCTGGAACTCCAGGTCCAGGCGATCCAGCGCCTCCTGGCCTCCACAGCACCTGCACGCACTGCGGGTTTTCCTGTGAGTATGCTCTGTATCTTGTATCTGAGACGTGATTAAATCGTGGGATGTTATACGTGCATTTCAAATACACGACGTTTTCCTGGGGTCCAGCCACAGCTGCTGCTCCCCCGAGGCTCTTCTGAGGAGGCGGTTGTCTGGGCACAGCCTGGGGACTGGAACCCAACAGGAACAGAGGCATCTCTGACAAGAAGGTCTGGATTTGGAGAGGACGTGTGAGAGCAGCTGTCCCACATCTATGGTGGTGGCCGGAATCTGTGTGGAAGATGCTGGGGCTCAGGGCAGGGCTGGGAAGTTCTCTGCCACCGCACTCACCGCGACCACGATGTCTCGCATGTGAGGGAACTCTTCGGGATGCAGAAAGGCTGTCAGCTCTTCCCGAGTAGCCATGGAGTCCCCGTCCTGGTCGGCCACCCGGAACCTCCGCTCATCCCGAGCCAGCATCTTCTTGTAGGTCTCAGCATCCTCCACATCGTGAAACTCCTCCCCTGCGGAAGGAGGGACAGAAGGACCCGCCAGAGGAGGACTTCCACCATGTGTAAGAATACATGTCAAGCCGGGCACGGTGGCTCGCCCCTGTGATCCCAGCACTTGGGAGGCAGAGGCAGGAGGATCTCTGTGAGTTCAAGGCCAGCCTGGTCTACAAAGCAAGTCCAGGACAGCCAGGGCTACACAGAGAAACTCCGTCTTGAAAAACCAAAAACAGCCAACACCATCCCCCACCCACCCACCCGCACAAAACAAAGTAAAAGAGAGAGACAGAGACAGAGAGACGGAGAGAGACTGAAGCAGGGGAACTGCATGTTCAAGGTCAGCCTGGGTAACTAGGCTGCATAACTGTCTCCAATAAAAGAAGGCTACAGATGCAGCTCAGTGAGGGCACACAGCAGTGAGCTGGCCCACCCAGAGCCCCCCAGCGAGGTTGGGGTAGCTCAGCCTTCCCGAGCAGGTGAGAGGCCCTAGGTTCAACTCTAAGAGCTGCGTGTGTGATATATTAGTGTCTTGTTTCCGGCCACGACACAGTCGTTATGTCATATGCCAACTCCCCAGTGCTGAGAATGTCCGAACTGCTAAGCTCCTCATCTACAATCTTTTCTTCTTTTTCTTTTTCTTTTTTAATAATTTATTTAATTTTATTTTATGTGCATTAGTGTGAATGTGTCTGATCCCTTGGAAATGGACAGTTGTGAGCTGCCATGTGGGAGCTGGGAATTGAACCGGGTCCTTTGGAAGAGCAGGCAGTGCTCTTAACCACTGAGCCATCTCTCCAGCCCCTCTTTTTCCCATTTGTCCCCTTTTCTGAGTGTACAGTGACTTGGCTTTGAGCGGACACTGCTTCGCTAGCCCCAAGGTTCTTTCTGATACAGAAGTGACTGGCTCTGACTCGCTGACAGCGCACAGGGAAGGGCTTTTCAGGGCAGAGTTTTGAGGAGCTGAGGAGGTCAGGGACTCCGCAGAAGAAACTTTGGGGGCAGAAACCTGAAAACTGAAGTTGGGGCAAGGCTAGATGAAGTAGCGGGCTGTCTCCAAGGGACCCGGAGGACGGAGAGTCGGCTGAGCTGCGGCAGCCTGGGGCTGAGTTATCCTGCCTGTCCTCCCAGACGCTGCTGCTTCCAGGTGTGCTGGTAACTTTATGACGAGAGTCATCTGAGAGGGGGACCCCCAGTTGAGAACGCGCCTCCGTAAGACAAGGCTTCAGGCAAGCCTGAGGAGCAGTGGTCCTCAGCCTTCCTAACGCTGTGACCCTCTAACACAGCGCCTCATGTTGTGCTGAACCCCAGAAAGGCATTTTGCTGCAACCTCCTACCTGTAATTCTGCTCATTAGGAATTGTAATGGAAACAGCTGATATGCAGGCTGTCTGATGTGACCCCAATGGGGTCATGACCCACAGGTTGAGAACCACTGCTGTAGAGCTTTTATTATTAATGACTGATGTGGGAGAGCCCAGCCCATTGGGTTCTATAAGAAAGCAGGCTGAGCAAGCCCTGGGGAGCAAGCCAGAAAGCAGCACTCCTCCACGGCCTCTGCATCGGCTCCTCCTGCCTCCAGGTCCCCGCCATGTCTGAGCTCCTGTCTTGACTTCCTTCAGTGATGGACCATGAGTTTCATCACAGCAATAGTAACCCTAACTGAGACGCCAGGGCAGCAGCCATGGGAAACTGCCTCCAACAAAACAGAACCGAGATGAGGGGATCTGGACAGCGGGGTTAAGAGTGAAGCTTTCTGGCCAGGGATGTGAAGTCCCCAGTCAGTTTGTCACACAGGTTAGCGAGATCAGAAATGGATGAGAGGTATCAGTGATAAAATCCTAAGAGAGGTCAAAGGGCAAAGGTGAGGCGGGCATACCGGGCTCATAGTGGCCATACGTGGCATTCCGCAATTCCTCCCAACCCACGCGCCCGTCGCGGTCCGTGTCGTAGGTGTGCCAGGCTGCGCTCACCGAGTCTCGGATGTGCCGCTGCTGCGTGTGCGCGATCCACGCGCGGAGCTCAGCCAAGGACACCCAGCCGTCGCTGTCCCCAGCGCGGTCCATGCGGTCCACGATCCGCCTGGGAGGGGAAATCAGTGTGGGTCCTCGGCCCTGTCCGGTGAGGCCCCACCCTTAGAGCAGCGCGCGGCCGATCTCAATCTTGACCCCGCCCACCCAGGCCCCTCCCTCTCATGCAGAGCCATCCTGGAACCTTCAGAAGACAGAAAAATGGGGACTTAAGAGATGGATGGCTCAGAGGTTAAGAGCAGCGGCTGCTCCTGAAGGGACCTGGGTTTGATCCTCTCAAGGCAGCTCACAAGCATCTGTAACTCCAGTTCCAGGGAACCCGTGGCACCAGCATGCACGTAGTACACAAACAAACGCATGTAGGCAAAATACCCATACACATAAACTAGAATAATTCTCTTAACGAGGGCGCGGGAGCGATGGCTCAACGCATAAGAGCACTGTCTGCTCCTCCGGAGCTCCTGAGTTCAATCCCAGCAACCACATGGTGGTTCACAACCATCTATACTGGAATCTGATGCCCTCCTCAGACAGACCACTCATACATAAAATAAATAAATAAAATTTAAAAAAAAATGAAAAATAAAGAGGAAAAACAATGCCACCCACGGTCTGCAAGCAAACTGAGGATGGGCTCCTGTCAATCTTCAGGCCTTGCCCACCCCAGAGCCCTGCCCACTCTGCCTACGCTTTTTCTGCTCCTCACTCCCAGCCTCCATTTAGGACTGAAAATTCTGCACACTATCCACACGCGAGCTCTGGTGGGGCGTGTCGGTTTTTTGGTTGGTTGGTTGGTTTTAGTGAGTTGTTGGGGGGGGAGGTGTTTTGTTTTGTTTTTTTGAGTCTCACTATGTAGCCCTGATTAGCCTGGAACTCGCTGCATAGACCAGGCTGGTCCTGAATTCACAGGGATCTGCCTGCCTCTGCCTTCCAAATGCACAAGACCAGGAAGGGCATTGACATTGACAGGTGTCACCGCCCTCATCCTCCCCTCGCCCCCAGCCACGCCCCGCAGAGACGCTGCCGGGCAGGCTGGGAAAAGCAGTGGAGATCCTAAATGAACGGAGAGGCACACGTTAATCTCAGCACCCGGCCTATCTAGAAGTCTGCCCTCTTCGCCTGGCCCGTCCCCACAGCAGTCCTAGAGATGAGAATTGCCCCTGGCACTAACCAAGGTCACACCTCCACCCTAGCCCCGCCCTCCAGGCTCTGCAGACTTCAACCCTAGTTGGACTCGAAGTGCAACAGTGAGCGCGGCCTCCACCCGCACCCCGGCCTCACCAAGGTTAAAGCTCAGGGCAGGCCCTCTCTCAGGCTCAGCCGGCCTGCGGACGCAAGCCCCGCCCCCTTCCCTAGGTGGGCGGGTCCAGCTTGGACTCCTCCTCTCCAGCGCAGCTCTGCAACCTTTCAAGGCCACTAATTGCCCTTTTAAGAATAGAACCCATGAGCTGGGCGTGGCGCACAGCTCCATTTCCAGCGAGGCAGAAGGAGGAGGGTCTCCATTCCAGACCAGTCAGGTCTACAGAGTGAGCTCCAGTGCTGAGAGGGTCTATCTCAGAGTAACAGTACCGAGAATAATAAAGCCTTTGCGCACGGAGGGGCCTTCTGGCCCCGGCCTCTGAGCCTAGCATCTCCCTCAGATTCCATCTCTTCAGTCTCCAACAAGAGACGGCGACCTTTTAGAGGCTGATAGAGCCAGGCCGGGGATGCCCGCACAGAGGCACAGAGAGGACGGGCAATGGAGGGGGAACCCGGGTGTGGGTGACACAGGTCCCCCACAGCTCTCAGTCTCCTGCTCTAGTCTTTCTCCTCCACCTCCCACTCCTACCCGGTTCCCGGCATCCTCCTACCCAAGTCGGGCCTGGCTTTCCTCTGGGCTGAGTTGGTCAAATTCCTTGGCCACGTCTCGTCCCAGGAACGCCTCGTGGTCGTACTGGAAATTCCCGTGGGCGTCATCATGGGGGGCCTCGCTCAGGGGGGTTCCCTGGTGGACCCTACCCTGGCCATGGGCTCCTGCTTCAGAGGATGGCTTCCCCAGGGCCCAGTGCCTCGGCCGTAAGAGAAGCAACACAAGCAACCATCGCCACATCATCGGTTCCTGGGGAGAGGTGAGGACCGGGTCAGATGGGGGAAAATCCAAACCAGACGGAATGTGGGGAAAACTTCGAAGCCGGCGGCGGGGAGCGTTTGCAGATAGAAGATGTGAGAGCTGCAAAAAGTTCGGGGCCTCAAGAAAAGTGGGCAAGGAGAATAGGGAGTTTGAGGTAAAACCACTGAGGGGTGGAATCCGAGCCTCAGAGGGGTCTAAGGGCAGAAAGAGGGTATTTCGGCTGGAGACGTGGCCCACGTCCCGCGCAAAGCTGCATGGTGGCGGCGGCAAGCATCATGCCCCGGCCTGGACCGCGACCCTCGCCCCGGAACTCCCTTCATGGCTAGCTGCTCATCCTTTCGCCCACCGCCACCCCCCGACGAGCACACTCACACTCACACACACCCGTTACCCGGCCTGGGTTCGCAACCCACTGTGAGCTCTGCTTTCGCACAAAGATGCCCAGCCTGGACGGCTTCCAGCTAGGCTCCGCCCCCGGCAATCCAGGAACACCCCCCCTCTGACCAATGACTGCGCAGGAGAGCCTCGGGGGCGGGGCCAACGAGCCCAAGCGTGCCCTGGAGTCCCTTGCCACGTCCACAGGGCGGTGGGGCCGGGACGGCGTGGTGGGCAGTAAGGACGATGTGAACTACAACTCCCAGCAGACATATGGTCCTCTGGCGGGCCCACCGCCGGAGTCTCCGGCCCCAGAGGATTAGGGAAAGGATTTTTATCTATTTACTTATTTATTTATGTTTCGGTACCGATTCCTTTTCTAGGATCCGTTTAAGAACAGAGAGGTGGTGGCTCATGCCGTTAATCCCAGCACTTGGGGGCGAGTTCCAGGACTACCTAGAGTCCCTGTCCTGGAGAGGCGGGAGAGAGGAGCGCAGGGGCTCAGAGGAGGCAGAGGCAAGCAGGTCGCTGTGACTTCGAGGCCAGCCTGGTCTACGAAGAGAGCCCAGGACAGCCGACAGCGAAGGCTACACAGAGAAACCCTGTCTTGAAAGGCCAAAGAGAGAGAGGTGGGGGAGAGAGAAGAAATGCCTGATGCCTGGCACAGCGCATGCATCACATGCATTTATGATTATAACTGCACGCCTCAGGGTATAAAACGGGCAGGCTGCACCAGGAGCCTGGAGGCAACCAGGAGGAGTCTGCGCCGTCTTTCCCAAACTCGGCCCATTTACCCCCGCCGCCTGAAACTTGAGAATAACGGCGCACACACAGATTTGGGCCCAGTTTTATGTGGAGATCAAAAAGAGCCATGTACATTGGGGGGGGGGGGAGGCGGGGAAAGGCAAAAAAAGGGGGGGGGGGGTCCACAGGGAGGACATCCGGCCCAGGGCTCCCTCACGAGGCTCGGAGACTCCAGGAGTTCAGGCGACCACACAGCACCAACGCTGCAGTGGGCATCGGCCGCACGAGTTGGCATCAGGAGGTGGCTGGAAAGGCATTTGCCCCCGAAGGGTCAGCCTCAGGGGGCAGGTTTCCTCCAGGCAGCAGGTCGCCAGAGTCATCACCGCTGAGAGAAAGCCATGGGGCTAAGAGACAAAAAGGGAGGTGAGCATCAGCGTCCACGGGCTCACCCTCTGGCCGCCTTCCCCAGGGCGGTCGGGGTCTGCCTCTGTCTCTCTTATCTCTCTCCCCCCCTCATTCTCTCTGGGTCCCTCTCTCTCCCTCTCTCCGGATCTTTGTCCTTCTCTTTTTGTGTCTCTGGCGTGTTCTCCGTTAGCCCCACCCCCACCCCCGCCTCTCTCTCCGGGTCTCTGCATCTGCCCACGCCCCTCCGCGCTTCCCCGCTCACACCTGGCAGCCCGCTCCGCATCCTGTTCCACAGCAGCACGCCCCCTGCAACAGCCGCCAGCACCACCAACAAACCAAGAACGATCCCAACCACAGGCACAGAAGATCTGGCTGGTGAGTCTACAGCCAGAAAGGATCATGAAGACAGGGAAGAAAGGAGCTGGTGACTCCCCTCAGAGACCCCCAGCAGCCTATGGCTGAGGGTGAGGGCGTGCAGAGGAAAGGCTCTGGCCTTATGCACTTCGAGTCACCCTGCCGGGCATTGGTGGCACATGCCATTAATCCCAGCACTTGGGGGGGGGGCAGAGGGAGGTGGATCTGTGAGATCGATGCCAGCCTGGTCTGCGGAATGAGTTTGAGGATCGCCGGGACTACAGAGAGACCCAGTATCAACACCCACTCCCCCCAAAAAAAGAACCAGCCACACATGATGGAGAGATGGCTCTCCAGAGCATCCGTTGCTCCTCCAAAGGATCAGAGTTCGGTTCCCAGCATTCATATGCAACGCCAGGAGACATGACCTTGACCCTCTAAAATATAAATCTAGGCTGGCAAGATGGCTCAGTGAGTAAAGGCATCCCTTTACCATAAAGCCTGATGACCTGAGTTTGATCCCCATGACTAACTCCCACAAGTTGTCCTCTGACCTCCACAAGGATGCCATGACACAGACTCACCTCTGCTTTCCCCTGTCACATGAAGAATGTAGGGAAATTAAATATATAAGCATATGCATATATATAAATATTGAGAGAGAGATCGAGAGAACGAACATGGTCCCATTGGGGTGGAGCTGCTTGAGAACCCAGCTGAGGAAGGAGAGAGACAGACGCAGGCACAGGACAAGCAGCAAAGCTGGTGCAGCACCAAAGCCGAGGCCAGGACTGTCAGTGGAGGAAGTGAATGGTCAGGTGCCATGAAGACCAGCAGGGCTCAGGTCGGAGCCAGGGGACTGGTCATCTGCTAATGGAGAGCCAGAAGCCAGGAGCAGAAAGAAGGCTCTGAGGCTGGACCAACAGCCTCACCTAGGTCCACAATGAGAGGCTCTGCCAGCCCCGCGTGTTCCACGTGACACTGGTAATGGTATTCATCGCCACGTTTGACCTCCAGCCAAGACCAGGCGTGGAAAGAGCCATCGCCGTTGGGGCCGATGCTGCTGTTCCCAGAGCCTGTGGCCAGCCCGTTGCGCAGGAACCTCAGCTTGAGCTCCGGCGGGTAGAAGGAGAAAGCGGCACAGGTCAGCACGGAGGAGCCGGGGCTGCCGGGGCGGGCTTTCAGGCGCATGGAGGGTGGCTCTGTGGGGAGAGGGGATGGGCCAGCAGTCAAGCTGGGCTTAGTGTGAAGCTGGTCGTGGACAGACACCTACTTCTCTCTATCGGCACTGCGCTGACTCCTCAGAGTGACATACACCCAACCCTGAGACCCTGGACGGTCCCCCGCTGATCCCGCTACCACGCTTCTCTCCTTCTTCATCCTTCGCTCCTGCTTTTGCTGTGTGTGTGATACCTACATATAAGGCTGGAGGTGAAGAGCAGAGGTCTTCCTCTGTTGCTCTTCACTTCCCCCCTTTATTTTTCACTCTGTGTATGGGTGGTTTGGGGCACGTGCGTTTGTGAACCACACGCATGCAATGCCCATGGGGGCTGGAAGAAGATGCCATCAGATCCCCTGGAACCGGAGTAACAGATGTTGTGAGCCAGCGTGTGGGTGCTGGGACCCACATTCAGGCCCTGTGCGAGAGCAGCGGGTGCTGTCACCACTGAGCCATCTCTCCCACCACCTGCTACTGTTATGAGACAGGGTCTCCCTGAATCTGGGGTTCTCCCCTTTCAGCCTCACTAGCTGCCAGTAAGGCTCTGTGACCCAGGCCTGCAGGTGAAGCCGTCCAGCCGTACACCAGACTTTGCCAGTGTGCTGGGGATCAGAACCCAGGTCTTCACGCAAAGAGTAGCCATAGCTGGGTGTGATGATACATGCCCACACAAGTAGTCCCAGCCCCTGAGGAGGAAACTCGGGAAAATCAGGAGTTCCGAATGAGATGGATGCTGCCTCAAAAAAGAGATCTGAGGGTGTGAAGCACACCTTTAACCCCAGCATTTAGGGAGCAGAGGCAGCTGGATTTCTGTGGATACCAGGCCAGCCTGGTCTACATAGCAATGCCAAGCTAGGCAAGGCTAATGACATAATGAGACACTGTCTCAAATAAAATAAAATAAAGAAATACACAAATAAATAAACACTCCGTGGCTGGAATGTGGCTCAGTTTGTAGCATGCTTGTTCAGCATGTATGAAGTCCTGGGGTCAGTCCCCAGCAGGATGAAACCAGCCATCCATTCTACAGCATGCCTGTAATCCCAACACTCAGAGGTGGAGGTCGAAGGATCAGGAGTTCAAGGTTACCTTTGGCTACATAAGACATTTGGGGCCAGCCTGAGCTACACAAGACCCTGAATCAACAGCAGTAAACTCCTGTGCTGGGCAGAGGCGTTCCCTCTGTCCGGGGTGGGTCTCGAAATCTTGGCTCTGCTCGGGTCCTCAGCAGAAAATAAGCTGACAATTTCTTGGGAAGAGGAAGCTTGGCTACTTCCCCGAAAGAGGGGCCTCATTGCCAGCTAGTAAGACCTGAGGCCCCTCACTCGGCCCCAGCGGACCGGACCTCAGTCAGCACTTCTGTGTTCTGCCTGTGGTTGTTATTGTTGTCTAGTGGTGGTGACTTCCTGTAGGTAGCTGGGAACACCCATCTTTCTCCTGTTTTCCAGACCTGACCCTGCGGGTTCAACCCCAGAGTCAGCCGAGCCTTGAACTTCTGCTTAGCAGAAAGAAAAAATAACAAGGAAACTCCTTGGGCCCCGGACACACTAAGCTGGGTGGCAGAGGCCTGTGGCGGGGAGGGACCACAGGCTCAAGACGCAGAGTGAGTTCAAAGTTCGCCTGAGAGTGAGAAAGGGGCCAGTGAAGAGCCTGCGGGACACAGCAGCTGGGAGTGTTCTCTGCCCTTTCCACAGAGCTGAGTTCAGTTCCCAGCACCAGCACTGGGTGAAGTGATGCCTTCCGGCGTCCGTGGTCACCCACAAAACAGGTGACTACAGATGCCTGTAAATGAGCAATGAAATCTAAATGTGTTCAGAAAAAGTTTCACGAAGTTAAGTAAAAGAGGGCTGGTGACATGGCTCAGTGGATAAAGGTACCTGCTGACAGGCCTGGTGACCTGAGTTCCAGCCCCAGAACCTACATAACATGGTGGACGGAGAGATCCAAATTACAAAGTTCTGCAACCTACCTGACACAAATACACATGTACACACACACACACACACACACACACACACACACATAAATAAATAAAGGTAACTTTAAAAATATTTTTAAATAAAATGAGGGCCAGAGGTGTTGCTCGGCTGTAGAGCCTAGAAATCGCCAGTAATGGGGCTAAGGGTGTGGCTCAGCGGTAGAGCCCCTGCCTTGTGTGGAAGGAAAGAAACAGTAACGCAACTTTACACCTGATAACCAAAGGCTATTATTAAAAACAGAATCACATGCAGACAGAAAGTTTCGAATGTAGCCAGGACCTGCAGGAATTGGAATCCTTGTCAAGGGGAGGGTAAACGGTGCAGCTACTATGATATTTCTTTTTCTTTTTCCCTTAGCCCTGGCTAGCTTCCAACAGAGATCTATCTGTCCCTGCTTTGAAAGTGATTCAATGCATGTACCATCACACCGGGCTACCATGGTTTTCCTGAATAAAGGAGCCCAGAAGCTGGAGAGCAATGGCTGAGTACTGGCTGCTTTCCCTGAGGACTCAGGTTCAATTCCCAGCACCCACATCGTAGGTAACTGATAAGCACCTGTAATTCCAGCTCCAGGGTCTGATGCCCTCTTCTGGCATCTGTGAGTACTGCATGCACATGGTGCCCCAACATACATGGAGGCAACACACACACACACACACACACAATTTTTTTTTTTAAATGAAGCCAGCCATAGCTGGGAGTTGGTGGTGCACACCTTTAATCCCAGCACTCAGAGAGGCAGAGGCAGGCAGATTTCTGTGAGTTCAAGGCCAGCCTGGGCTACAAAGTGAGTTCTAGGATAGTCAAGGCTACACAGAGAAACCCTGTCTGGATAATCCAAAGAAAAAGAAGAGGAGGAGGAGGAGGAGGAGGAGGAGAGAAGAAAAAGCAGCAGCAGCAGAATTTCTACTTTGTGGACACTTATCCAGAAGTTGATGTCAAGAGATCAGATCGGGGAAATGCTGGCCCATGTTCTGCATTGCAGCGTCCATCACAACAGTCAAATTACAGAAACAATCTAAACACCCAACAGCAGATAAACAGACAGTGTGACTGGCCGGACTGCTATCCAGCCACAATTCCTCAAGCTGGGGAGATGGCTCAGCAGGTAAAAGTGTTTTGCACAAGGATGAGGACCCGGGGGCTGGAGAGATGGCTCAGTGGTTAAGGGCACTGCCTGCTCTTCTAAAAGGACCCTGGTTCAATTCCCAGCACCCACATGGCGACTCACAGCTGTCTGTAACCCCAATTCCAAGGGCTCTGACACTAATGCACATAAAATAAAGTTAAATAAATTCTTTGAAAAGAAAGAATGAGGACCCAAGTCTAAATTTTTAGCACTTTATGCAAAAAATTAAGCATGTCTTTGCAGCTCTAACCCTGGTGCTAAGGGTAGGGGCAGAGGAAGGAGGACCATATGGCTGCCAGCATAGCTCCAAGTTGAGTGAGAGAGTCTGGGTCAAAGAAATAAGATGGAGAGTTATGGAGGAAGACACTTCTCTGGCCTCCGTGCTGTGAACAGGCGCCCCCCCAGGCGCCCACATACCACAAGCATACCACACACACAGTCAGTCACACAATGCACCAGATAGTAAGTGAGTGAGTAAATGCAAGTGTTAAGAATGTCTCAAAAATCCAAAAGACTGTCAGGCAGTGGTGATGCATGTTTTTAATCCCAGGCAGAGTTCAGGCCTGTGTCCAATCCCAAACGGAGCCAAGAAAATGAGAGGTACTACCTGTAACTCCAGCTAACTGGGATATAACCCCCTCCCCTGACCTTGGTGAGTAGCCACACCCAAGTGCACACAACACAGGTACACAAGTAAGAATAAAATAAAAAGATCTCAGTGTTATTAGTGCACACACACACACGTGGACGTGCGTGCCGGTGGCCATCAAGGAGGCCTGGGGCACTGGGCTTCCGGTGCTGGGGCTATGGGCGGCTATGAGTTGTGTGGGTGGACTCTGCAAGATCACCGAGTGCTGTAGCCACTGGGCCGCACAACTTGTTTATCAGAAAAAGATGGGCTGTCCCACAAACAGCACCTGAGGCCTCCAAGCACAGGAGCACACACATGCAAGTCCAGACAGGGTGAAACCCGCATGGAAAATGACAGAACTTCTTCACATCCAATTTGTTAGAAAGTAAAGCAAGAAAGAGAGAACCTACACGTAGAATAGGAAGCTGTAAAACTCCTCCAAACACAGAGAAAGGCCTAGGTCATCCTGGGTTGGGAATGACCTCCAAGATACACTAACAAGAGAGAAAAATGATGAAGGGGGCTGGAGAGATGGCTCAGCAGTTAAGAGTACTGGCTGCTCTTTTAGAGGTCCTGAGTTCAAGTCCCAAATGGCATCTCACAACCATCTATAATGGGATCTGATGCCCTCCTCTTCTTCCAGGCATGTGTGCAAAGAGAGCACATGAATTTTTTTTTTTTTTTTTTAAGTAAAAGCTCCATTTTTTGAAGACACCTTTAAAAGAATGAAAGGAAAAAAGGCGGAGAAAGTGTGTATGAAAGACTTCTTTGATGAAGGTTTGGGTCCACAATACACAAACAACCCTCAGAAGATAAGAAGAAAAAGACATGGAAAGGCTGAAAAAGAGAAAGACTCAGGAGGCTGAGACCAAGAGGGTGACAAGTTTGAGGACGCGCGGGCTACACTGTGAGACTGTCTAAATATAACAACAAACAAACAGCACTCAAGAGGCAGAGGCTGGCAGATACCGGAGTTCGAGGCCAGACTGGTCTATGTACTGAGCTCCCATCTCTCAAAAAACACAGTTAGCTGGGTGTGGCAACCCACTTCTGTCACTCGGGAGCAGGCAGGAGGAGCAGGAATTCAAGACCATCCTCAATTACTCAGTGAGCTCCCCGTTAGCCTGGGCTACCCGGAACCTTGCCTTAAACAACGCCCACTGGAATGTGTGAGCGGCCTGCACTGAGGAGGAGGCTGGGAGGGCTTTGAGCAGGCTGTGGAGGTCTAGAGGAGGGACAGAAGATGGGCTCACCCTTCCACTCCAGGTTCTGGCGGCCCCTCTCCAGGTGGCCCAGCAGCCGCTGAGGACAAGAAGTCAGCAGGAACTCTCTCTCCTTCCTGGCCTCCTCAGGCTTCTTCATCCACAGATTACCAACGATCTCTGTCTCAGGCCACTCCCCAGTCCAGTTGCCGATGCTTGCATTGAACTGCATGAACTCCTCGCCATTGAGGGCAAATACAGCCGTGGGCAATGAGGAATTGTCAGGGGCCAGCTCACAGCCCAGCAGGCCCTGCAGCGTGAAGTTACCTAGACGCCAACACGTAGGTGAGGAGACTTAGGAGCAAGGGCCAGCCTTCCTCTCTCCTCCTCCCTCAGACCTTAAGGTCCTTCACCCTTATTCCTAGGGTTCAGACCTCCTCCTCCTCCTTCAGACCCAGGGTTCCAGCCTCCTTCCTTGACCCAGGAGTCCAAACCCCATTTTTCTTCCTCAGGCCCAGACTACTGCACCCCACTCTTCTGACCATTATTGATGCTTTCCAGGGCCTTGAGGGCTTCCAAGAAGAGCTGTTCTTTGTTTTTCAGGTCCACGGTCTCCTTCTCCCAATACCAGGATACCTGGTTTTCCCACATCCAGGCCCCACAGGGATCAGCCTCCTTCCGAAAGCTGTTGTAGCTGAGATACTGCTGAGGGCCCAGCCAGCCTGTGGCCCAGAAGGAGGGAACCCCCTTGGGTGGGTTGGACACAGCCGTGAGGTGGTACAGCAGGGGGGGACGGGTAGCTGTCAGAGGAAAGAGGGGAGTCCGTTGAACAGAGGCTGCATCCCACAGAGATGCATAGTGAAAAACTGGGCTTAGTCTGAGGGACGGATCCTACAGGGAGAGAGAGAGAGAGACCCAGCGAGGGAGAGAGACAGACAGACAGACTGAGAGACAAACACCAGAGATTGTCAAGTGTATTTGACTCAAAGTCTGGGAAAAGCTATCCACAGTGAGATTTCCAGGAGGGCTAGGACATCATGAAAAGCCTTTTTACTGTCTCTTTCCCACTCTCTGGCACTTTTTCCTGATCCCTCTGCTTACTCCAGGTCCGGGTGGCCTCTTACCTGTGCCCCAGGTCCAAGGCAGGAGGACCAAGAAGAGGCTAAGGACCCAGGGCTGGGGCATCCCCATCCTGGCAGGGGACCCGGAGTGGGAGGGACACGTGACTCCTGTGAACCCGCCTTGCTGATTCTTCACAAGTCCGTGAGGACTCTTCCTAGACCAGGACGCTGGATGGTGGGATGAGGACCCAGTCCAAGATGACAGGAGTGACCTGCTCCTGTGTGAACTTTCACCTCCTCATTTGATCCACTTTAGTTAATTAATTACAGAACTAGACAGACCAAAATTTGTCTCAGACGTGTGTGATTTCTTTTTCTCCTCCCTCAGACCCAAGGCTCCGTCTGGGCCCTATCCTCTTCCATCATTCCCAGGGGCTCAGACTTTGCTCCCCTCCCTCAGACCCAGGAGTCCAATCCCAAGAATTCTTCCCTTAACCCAAAAGTCTAGGCTCAGCCTTCCTTCCTCAGACTCAGATGCCCAAGTCCCTGCTCTCCCCCCTCAGACCACAGCCTCCTCTTCACCCTCAGGAGAAGGTCACACGCTTCCTCCTTCAGACTCAGGGATCTGGGCCCCAACCCTCTTCCGCCAGACCCTGGGGTGCTGGCCCCTCAAACCTGGGAATCCAGGCCTCGGCCTCCTCCTCAACACTCAGCCTGGGCGCCTGGTGCTCACGGAAGGCCGTTTCCCTCTCTGCCTGCAGCCAGTGGATCCTTTGCCTGGAAGCCCTAGTTCTTGTTTTACATCCTGTCTGTACACAGCCAGGACTGTGGAACTCTGAGGGCATCCAACTCCACCCACTCTCCACTAAGACCGCCCCTGGGCCTCTGCCCAGCCTCTCTTGACACTCCAATGGTATTTGATTGGAAGCCTCCTAGGGCAATCGTCCTTCGGCCTGCCTCTTCTGAGAGTTTTCATAGTAGACGCCTGGAAAGGCCTGTACGCTGAATGTGGCTTTTAAGACAGGACTTGTAGGCTGGGGGCGTGTGGCCCGGTCCTGGAATGGTTGCCTAACAGGAAGGCTTGGCTGCAGCCCACCCCAGCTGTGCGCCTGCTCTGGTTGCTCCCCCGTGCGAAGCCTCACTTACATACTCTGCGGCTAGGGCCCGCTCTCAGGCCCTGTCACCCACTCTGCTGACCGCCCGGGATCTTGGCAGGACCGATAAACAGACACACACGCTGGCTGATGGTTAGGTTGGGTAGAAAGACTGCAGAGTAGAAGGGAAGTTGGTGGCAGCAAGTGACCGTAATTCCAGCACTCAGGAGGTGGAGGCGGGGGGCCAAGGAGCTCATGGCCAGCCTGGGCGGCATGCAGAGACTGTGCACAGGAGGGAGGGAGGCAGCTGAGGGGTTGGCTGGTGGCTCACCAGACAGCAGCAGGCTGAATAGGTAGGCAAAGCAGGAGTGGTGCAGGCCCAGGACCCAAACACGTGAAAGGCAGAAGCAAGAGAACAGAAAGTTCAGAGCTGGAGAGATGGCTCTGCAGTTAGGCACACCTGCTGCTCTTGCAGAGGACACAAGTTCGGTTCCCAGCACCCACATGGCAACACCAGCTGTCCATAACTCCAGTTCTAGAGAGTCTGACAATCTCTGATCACCAGGCAAGAATGAGGGGTGCATGCATACATGCAGGCATAAATAAATAAATCTAAAAAAATTTTTAAGGGAGACTAGAAAGCCAACCACTCCTGCCTGCACTGACCTTCTCCCACTGTCTATATTCTGTGTGTGTGTATGTGTGTGCGCACAGGTGGTTGGGGTGTCAAGACAGGGACTCACACTGCCCAGACTGACCATGAACTCCTGACCCCTTGCCACGAGCTCTTAAGTGCTGGGTTAGCAAACCTCTTACGGGCTAGGGAGACCACTGAGTCAGAAAGCGCTTACCTTGCAAGTTTGAGGACCTAAATTATGATCTTCTGGTCCCAAGCTCCCACGTCAAAAGCCGGTTCTGAGGCTAGAGAGATGGCTCAGTGATTAAGAGCACTGGCTGCTCTGTGGTGGTGCACGCTTTTAATCCCAGGCAGACGCAGGCCAGCCTGGTCTACAGAGGGAGTTCCAGGACAGCCAGGGCTACACAGAGAAACCCGGTCTCAAAACACAAAACAACAAGAAGAACGAAAAGAGCACTGGCTGCTCTTGAGGACGACCTGAGTTTGGTTCCCGGCATTCACATGAATGCTCACAACCAACTGGAACTCCAGCTACCGGGGAGCCCACAGCCTCTGAGGGCACTGTACTCAAACTCACACTCAGAGACGTGCAAATACGTGGAACTAAAAAAAGAAAAGAAAAGAAGCATGATGGCCCATGCCTTTAATCCCAGCATGTGGGAGACAGAAGTAGGCAGATTTCTGTGAGTTCAAGACCATCCTGGTCTACACAGTGAGTTCGAGGACAACCAGAGTTAGGTGCGTTCTGTCAAAATTTTTTAATTAGTTTATTTACTTTCCATCCTGAGGGGGGAAAAAGATTTAAAGTCAATAGCAACAACAAAAACCATGTAAGGAGGGGGGCTTTGGTTTATTAATGGAGTAAGTAAGCCTACTTGCTCAGTATGCAAGAGGACATAAAGTTCAAGGTCATCCTCAGTTACATAGTGAGACCATTTGAAGCCAGGCTGGGCTACAAAGGACTCTGTCAAAGGAAGGAAAAAGGATTGGCAGGGAAATGTTCGTGAGAAGACAAAGCGGCCTGTCACCCCAGAGTCTAAAGTCTGCAGACAGCTGAGAGTCAAGGGTGACGGCTCAGGCAGTTAACAGATTTGCCGTGTGGTTGACAATGGGACAATATCCTTCATTGGAGGAGGTTTCAAACAAGAACGCTGACAGCAATCAACTGCATGAGGGGCCACCACCAAACTCTGGCCTTTCTCTTCCCCTCTATGGAAAAACCCACAACTTCCAGAAAATCTTACAAATAAGCCCAGAACCTTTGTTCACAGTGAAAAGCTGTCTTTACTCCCTTGTGCAATCCTACAGCTTCGAGTTTTACCTCGTCAGCTGCAATCCTACCCAGAGTCCTTCAGGAAACACTCTGATTTCAGTTACTAAAAGAGAGAGAAGGGGGAAGCAGGGGGTATGTCTCTTAAAAGACACTGGACTGAACAGAAGCCTCCAAAACCGTCAGCATGGCTGCGGTTATGACGCTTCAGTGGCAGCTGGGGAGGTGGGGAGGTGGTGGTGGCACAGGCCTTTAATCCCAGCACGCTGGAGGCAGAGGCAGGCGGATCTCTGTGAGTTCAATGACAACCTGGTCTATAGAGCGAATTCCAGGACGCCCGGGGCCACAGGGAGAGACCCTGTCTCAAAACAAACAAGACACCCAAGGGGGACTCAAGAAGCCCAGACCCACGCTGGCCCCTCCCCTAGTGCCTCTCAGGTCTCTGAATGCCCAGCATGAACCTGCGTTAGAACCAATTCCAGCAGGTGAAGGTATGTGCTACACACGCCTGATGATCTGAGCCCCATCCCTGGGAACCCATGACGAAGGGAGAGCGTAGACTCCACATAGTTTCCTCTGCTCTCCACATGTAAATGTGTCCCCCTCACCACACTGCATGTGTATGCGCACACACACAATAACACGTTTAAAAGTCCGGGCTGGTGAGATGGTTCATTGGGTGAAGATGCTTGCTGCCAAGACTGATGACCTGAGTTTGAGTCCCAGGACCCACATGGTCAGACAGAACTGAGTCCTGAAAGTTGTCCTCTGGCCTCTGCATATGAACTGTATGGCACGTGTTCATGCTTTCATCTAATTATAATTTTAAAAAGAGTAAGTAGAGACGAGAACCAGCCTCAAGAAACATTTTTCAGCCAGGTGATGGTGCACACCATTTATCCCAGCACTCGGGAGGCAGAGGCAAATGGATCTCCTGAGTTCGAGGCCAGCTTGATCCACTGAGTGAGTTCCTGGACAGCCAGGGCTACACTGAGAAACCCTGTCTCAAAAACAACAATAATGATAAACAAACAAAAGCCCGGGAGCAGTGACACATCTCTGTCACCTCAGCACTGGGGTGGGGCTTGCTGACCAGCTCCGTACCAGCCAAAGGGGTGAGCTCCAGCTTCTGGGAGAGACACCATATCAGAAAATACCGTGGTGATCAACAGAAGACACTCAGTGACACACACAGGATCCCACACACACCCTTCACACACATCCACCCCCCACACACCCTCCACTCACACCCTCCATATACAACCTGAGCATACTTGACCCTTATGAAAATGTTTTATGTTGTTTTACTCATTATCAGTGTGTGTGTGTGTGTGTGTGTGTGTGTGTGTGTGCGCACGCGTGCGTGCGCTCGCGCGCGCCTGTGTAAATGTGCACACAGGGATGGAGGCAGAGCACAACTTTCAGGAGTAGGTTCTCTTCTGCTGTGGACTCCAGGAATGAACTCAGGTGATGAGGTCTGTGTAACGTGTGGCTTTACTCACTAGGCCTGCCCATTGTTCTCCAAAAGCTCACTTATTAATTTGTTAAACTTGTATTTGTTATTGTGTCTGTTTATGAAACTTGTGTACTTGTACACACGCCACGGAAAGGTCAGAGGACAGCTTCATGGAGTCGTTTCTTTCCTATGTGTGAGTTCCAGAGAGGAAACTCACCTTCAAAGCTCATTCAAAGGAATCTTTACCTGCTGAGCCAGCTATCCATCCATCCATCTATCTATCTATCTATCTATCTATCTATCTATCTATCTATCTACTTTTTTTTTTTTTCTGAGATAGGGTTTCTCTGTGTAACCCTGGCTGTCCTGGGCTGTCTTTGTAGACCAAGTTGGCCTCAAACTCACAGAGATCAGCCCGCCTCTGCCTCCCCAAGTGCTGGGATTTAAAGGAGTAATAGCGCATGCCTGGCTTCCACCTACATTTTTTGAGACAAGGTTTCTCTATGTAACCCTGAATGGCTTGGAACTCTCTAAGTAGGCCAAGCCGGAAAAATGGCACCGATTGGCCTGATCCTGCCTCTCTTGTGCTAGATTAAAGGCAAGCAAGCACCACCCCACCTGGCTATCCCTCTCTACTTCAGAGAGCATTTTTCCCTATACAAGGTGGCCAGGGGGTAATCTCTGGGTATGTGTCCATCTTTGTGGCTGACCTGTTCCAAACCAAATACAAACCCATTACACAGTTTGCCACCGCTTGTCCGTGAAGTCCCCTGTGCCGCCTGCACTAACAGACACAGCTTTCCTGTTCAGTCCTTGTCTCTCTCGCTCTCCCCCCTTTTGATTATGTCTAACGATGTGGGCACACCTGCCATGACACATGCGGAGAAGCCAGACGACAGGACACGTGTGTGGAGGCCAGAAGACAACTTGCAGGAGCTGGTTCTCTGTTCCACTGTTGGACCCTGGGGCTCATCCTCAGATCCGCAGGCTTAGCAGCAAACACTTTTACCCACCGAGCCTCCTTGGCAGGCCCCCCTTTGTCACCCCCTTTAAGAGAGCTTGTAGCGGCTAAAGAGATGGCTCAGCAGTTAAGAGCACTGACTGCTCCTCCAGAGGACCAAGGTTCAGTTCCCAGCAACCACTTGATGGCTCACAACCACCTGTAACTAACTCCATGTCCAGGGGATCCAGCACCTCACACAGACATACATGCAAGCAAAACAACAATGCACACAAAATAAGTGTAAACACTTTTTTTGTTGTTTTTTATTTTTGAAACAGGGTTTCTCTGTGTAGCCCTGCTGTCTTGGAACTCATTCTATAGACCAGGCTGGCCTTGAACTCTGAGATCGCCTGCCTCAGCCTCCCGAGTGCTCAGACTAATGGTGTGT